GATGCGGTAGTGTCCTGAGTAGGTCATGATAATTTTCAGGAGCTAGAACAGGAGAAAGCTGCTCGTCTGGAGCAAGAAAAGGCTGCTCCCCTTCAATATTCTGCCATGTCTGACCAAAGCTCAATAGCAAAGCAAAAATCTGCAACATTTAACAATGGTACTTCATAATTATGTTAATGTTTTCATTTTGCAGGCACTTTTAGTTTATTTCTTGCACATGACGATCACCTTTTTGCAGGACATTTGACTCGTAAGCTTTCAAGTGCAAGCAGCTTAAGCAGTATGGAAGAAAGCTATTTTCTGCAAACATCTTTGGACTCTTCTGACAATTTGCATGAACATAGAAATACTTCAGAGGGTACCATGAGACCATACCATATGAAGAGCATGACAACAAACACCTTTGAAGCTGCTCTTCGTCGAAAGGAGGGTGAACTTGCATCTTACATGTCACGACTGGTATGGAGTATATATTGGTTACGTTAAATTGCATTCAGGCATCATTTGGCAATGTTTATGGTCATATTTCAGTTAATGGTGCCCAAAACATGTAGTCTATGTGGCACAGTGTCTCATAATACAAGCTGTCATTAGCTTGTGATTCATAGTGTATGTTGTTGACACCACTCCCCCTTCCCCATTCTCATACCTGCTTGTTTGACTGTTATCAACTTCAGGCTTCTTTGGAATCCATTCGTGACTCTCTTGCCGAGGAGTTAGTTAAAATGACTGCACAGGTGAGAGACATAGTAATTTATTCTTCCCCTTTCCCCGCCATCATGCATTATATATCTGAGAATTGATATTGTATGGTGTAGTGTGAGAAGTTACAAGTAGAATCTGCAACGCTGCCTGGCATAAGGGCAGAGCTAGAAGCTCTAAGACGGAGACATTCAGCAGCATTGGAGTTGATGGGTGAACGTGATGAAGAGGTATTGTTAATTAATTTATTTATTTTTTGTTTATCTTTATATATGGTGAACATTCCTAAAAAATTGTAGATTTAGGAACAATGGTAATAATTTTC